ACGAAACCTCGATACTCGATCAACCAAACGGGAAACAGGCGCTCAAGTGTCTCTCAGCTTCCCAATATGCGCATGACCTCCGTCTTCGTTTCACCCTTGCTTTTGAACAATCTTGACAACCCCAAATACCTACGCATCTCCCCGATGACTTTCGCTACATCGAACGGCGCGAAGCCTAACCTACTCCACCAGGTCAAGTCCAGCGTTGCTCGGAATCCGCCTCTGGCCAAAGAGGTTACGCTGCTCAAGGTCTCGACTCCTCTGTCGATGGACCGTGTCCTTCAACCTGCCCTGTTCGCTGGCCTCAAACAATACTTTGAGTCTCGTCGACGACTTTTGAAGGGCGGAGATCTTGTGGGTATTAGCATCGATGAAGGTCTCGGTAGAGCCGTTTTCCAAGGCGCAGCTACCGGCGATGGTAGCGCTCAAGAAGACGATCTGACCACGAGACTAGGACAGATGTCTTCTTCTGATCATGCCGGGTCTAAGAAGGTCGGAGTCGCATGGTTCCGTGTTGGCCAGGTTGTCCCCAGTATTCCGGACGAACAGGATGAGGCCGGCGACAACCAATGGGGAGGAGTGGCCGTTATTGACTCCGCCACTACCCGAATGGTACAAGCTGGGAGCGATATAAGCAGGGTACCGGGCTCGACTGATAATGGCTGGGAGTATTGGCTTGGGGTCAAAGCTGTACCCAAGGCTGCCACTGAAGCGCAAACGAGCCATGGTCTGGTGACCGACGTTCCACAATCATTCATCTCACCTTTGCAGCAGCGTCTCCGAGAACTGATTTCGGTTGCCACAAGTCCTCGTGCGATCCAGCTCGGTATGAAGCCAGTCGTCATCCTTCTGAGATCCCAACAACGACACATTGGCAAGGCCACGGTTGCAACCCGCGCGTGTGCTGACATCGGCCTGCACACCTTCCCAATTGATGCCTATGATATCCTTACGGAGGGTGGTGCCAACGGTGGCGATGTCAAGACCGAAGCATACTTGAAAGCCAGAGCAGAACGTGCTTTCCTTTGCGGAGCCGACTGCACTGCGCTCCTGATCAAACACATTGAAGTCTTGACTGCAGATCGTATAGTGTCGGCCATGGCTGAAATTGTGGCCGATGCGCGGGTACTTATCGCTACTACGACGGACGTCGAACAAATGCCCGAGGGCCTTCGAAGTATGTTCACCCATGAATTCGAGATGTCTGCACCCGAGGAAAAGGAACGGGAAGGTATTCTTCGCAATGCTGTTTCAGAACGTGGCATTCGACTTTCGCCTGATGTTGAATTGGGGTCAGTGGCTTTGAAGACCGCTGCCCTGGTCGCTGGTGATTTGATCGACGTGGTCGAACGTGCGTCGTCGGCCAGAACTGCACGCTTGGAAAGACTGGCGGAGGCATCGAGCAAGCAATCAAACCAGAAGATTGGGATTCGCGATATTCTGGTCTCTGGCGGCGACGCGGCACGAGGCGTCACAAAGCTTGATTTCGATACCGCCGTCGACGCTGCGAGGAAGAACTTTGCCGATTCCATCGGCGCCCCCAAGATTCCGAATGTCAGCTGGGAGGACGTGGGCGGCCTGTCCAATGTCAAAGAGGCGCTCGTTGAGACCATCCAACTGCCGCTCGAACGGCCCGAATTGTTCGCCAAGGGTATGAAGAAACGTAGCGGTATTTTGTTCTATGGGCCGCCTGGTACCGGAAAGACGCTTCTGGCCAAAGCCATTGCAACCGAATTCTCGCTGAACTTCTTCTCCGTCAAGGGCCCTGAGCTGCTGAACATGTATATCGGTGAATCCGAAGCCAATGTACGACGCGTCTTTCAGCGTGCCCGGGATGCCCGCCCCTGCGTTGTCTTCTTCGACGAACTGGATTCAGTAGCCCCCAAGAGAGGTAACCAAGGTGACAGTGGTGGTGTGATGGATCGCATTGTGAGTCAACTTCTCGCCGAGCTGGACGGAATGAACGGCGGAGAAGAAAACAGCGGTGGTGTCTTTGTCATCGGCGCGACCAACCGACCCGACTTACTCGATACGGCGCTTTTACGGCCAGGTCGTTTTGATAAGATGCTCTATCTTGGTGTCTCCGATACACACGAGAAGCAGCGGACCATACTGGAGGCGCTTACACGAAAATTTGCCCTTGCCTCGGATCTTTCTCTTGCTCGGGTAGCTGATCGGCTTCCGCTAACCTACACGGGCGCCGACTTGTACGCTTTGTGTTCGGACTCGATGCTCAAAGCTATTACGCGCAAGGCCACGGCGGTGGACGAGAAGATCAAGCAACTTCCAGGTGAGCCTGTCAGTACCGCGTACTTCTTTGACCATCTTGCCACGCCGGAAGACGTGGCGGTGGTGGTCACGGAAGACGATTTCCGGGAGGCTCAAGATGAGCTTGTTCCCAGCGTTAGGTAAGCTACGACGGACGTCCCGATGAGAATTCCTCTCCTTACTAACAGCATCCAGTGCCAAGGAGCTTGAGCACTTCGAGCGGATCCGACAGACCTTCGAGTCCGTTGACAAGCAGAAGCAGCAGTCGGTGAATGGTGCCTCAGGGCCACCACAAACAATTCAGGATGCGCTGGACGCGCTGGATGCGGGCGGACAGTTGGAATTCAGCATGGATGGGCCTGTCGCTAATGAAGACGCTCAATCCCCCGCAGTCAACAAGGGAAAGGGCAAACAGGTCCCCTCTATGGTGCGAAATGCGAGTGGTCAGTCGACCAATAGCAAGAGCAAGGGTAAGAGTCCTGCGGGAGCTGGCGGGAAATCGAAGGGCAAGACCGTCAACATCCCGAATGGTGACTCTGATTCCTCCCTTGACGGTCCCACCTCTGGATTGCGAACAGATCGAGGAGGCTCGCGTGGATACGATGGTGTTGGTGAGGATAAGGAGGACAATGTGGAGAACGGGGTCGCTCACAGTGGCGATGAAGATGACTACGTTATTCGAACTGACCATCTGGCTCCGACCGGTGGATCGGGGGTTTGATGACTACGGGAGTCAGTCGGCCACCGACCGTGGGCCAGGGCAGGGGGTGGGTGTCAATAAAAGACAAGGCTTGGCGGTTGCACTTCCCGATTAGTGTGTGTGAGACTGTGAGTGATGTGTACATATATATGATTTGCGATGACTGCATATGAGCATTGTTTGTATGTATATTTTTTGTCAGCGAACGGTTGTTGTCTGATAACAGCCAGTGGAGGGGAATCTGCAGCGGCCACATGAGGTCATCGAGGTACAGTAGCACGTACTGTCCAGCACCTGAATGTCCAATGAATCTACCCAACCTAATTTAAGTCAACGATAACAACGACTACTACTACTCCAATGTGTGACGTGTATCATATATCTCATAACTGAGTAGACTTAATAGGCTTTCAGGGGACAGAAACCAGATATGCAGAGAAGCAAAAGAACATTCTAGGTCTGGAAGGAGGAGAGCATAGAGGATGTTGATGTTCAAATTGAGCGGGACCTCGGAGAAGGTCCGCTGCGTTCAACCGAGGACGGAGTGCAGTTTGGCAGAGATTATGCTTATCGGGGATGGACTCCGCCCTATTCAGTATTTAGTGTGTCAAACCGGCCTCTAACCCAAAGGTCGACTGTAGGGACTCCGTGCTCCGTTACTGCGTAACTTTAATCGGAATGGATCAGAATCGGCCCTGTTTTTCACCGGCCCTCAAGTTAAGCTTCCAGTCCCCCAGCTTCCGCCCGTGAGTTCTTTGTAATTGGGTATCGGCGCCTTGTGCTCGGTGGTTTGCACCAATCAAGGAGTGACCGACTCCGGTTATCAGTTGGGCTGCTTATCGAGCGGGCGATAGAGTATCATCATCAATGATAATCTTGATATAAGTTTTGGTTAGCACCGTCTCTTACCCCATATTTATTAGGTAAATGGTGCCATCCGCCACTCTCTCCCCCCGCAATTCCTCTCTTCCTACTCTCTCCCCCTTCTCCCACTCCAATTACTCCACTCAAGTGATGTTCTATCATGTAATTTCTTCGGAATCCTTCTTCCCAAGAGCTGAGATAGTCAGATAACTAGGTAGACCATGAGAGGAAGAGACTGAAGGTGATCAATGTGTCTTACGGTGGAGGCAACATCCTTTCCCCTCCCTGGTCTTAGTCCTTCCGTAGGGTAACTACCTTCCTCCGTAGAACAAATAGTAGTAGTAGAAAGTGTTCGCTCACTCCCTCCCTCCCTCCCTCCCTCCCTCCCTCTGTTCCTTTCCAGCTCTTTTTTCATTCCCCCCTTCCCCATAGCAGTTTCCTTTCCCCCTCCATCACCCTCTTACTCCCCCTCTCCCTCTCCCTCTCTCCTTCTTCCCTCGACAACTATACTTTGCCTCTAGTCACACACCCCATCCCCTCAACTTCTCCCATCCTTTTGTTCTTTGTCGAGCCCCGTCAATATTCCACAGCCATGAAAGACCTCCCGGGAGATGATGACGCGCAGCTCGCAGCCCTGGGCCACAGGGCTGAATTAAATCGGAACTTTTCGATGCTGTACGTTGCTCCGATCGCCCCGTTCATGACCGTCTTGCACGTGGCCACTAAATTAACGCCTATCTTTTCAACTTGACTAGATCAATGTTAGGCTTAGCCTTTGCCATCCTGAATGTACGTTTCGTCAAAACCTATCATCATTCATTCCTGCATGTGGTTGGCGCTACGTCCACTCGTGACACAGATCGCCGGATGAGAACCTCTTGCGACGATTGCATGGACGCTGATCAAGCTATCGACGCTCTAGTCATGGACCGCTCTTTCTGCAAGTTTATCGATCAGTCTGCCGTCGGGCGGCTGCGTAAGCGTTGTATGGGGTAAGTCAATCCTTCCTACTCGTACTATGTTCTGTCCAGTCTCGTCTGAATGAAGCAACTCGACGGCCGGATAAGGTTGTGGCTTTCGCTTGCTGGTCCCGTACTGGTCAAAGTTACTCAATGATTGATTCCCCCTCCTTGCAGGATTGGTCACGGCGGGTATCTGTAACCTCTGCATGGCATCCTCTCTGGCAGAGTTCTTGTCAGCGTATCCTACGTGAGTAATGGTTGTACCAATTAATGTCCATGATGGGTACTGACTGGGGTATTAGGGCGGGTGGACAATATCATTGGGTCGCAGGTAAGCGCAATTCACTTGTTTGTTTCGGTTATTCATGGGTTATGATTTTTATGATACTGACTTTTCATTCTTCGCAGTCAGTAAGTACAATATACCCACTTTCTCATGAGCGTCACTAAGTGAACAAAGTTGCTCCGGAAAAATACATGCCTGTACTTTCGTGGATTACAGGATGGGCAAACGTGTCTGGCTGGGTGGCTCTGGCTGCCACTGGTGGATCTCTAGGCAGTCAACTGGTCTTGGGTGTGATTTCCTTGATGCATCCGGTAAGATTCCCCTTACATCTGCTTAGATGTCACAAGCTGATTGACCCCTTCAAGACATATGAGTCGAAAAGATGGCATCAATTTCTCATCTACATCGCATTCTGCCTTGTTGCATTCCTGATTAATGCATTCTTGAACTCTATCCTTCCACGGTTGACCAAGGGTGCCTGTATGTGCAAAAGCCATGACCATCATGGAAGGGAATCTCGAAAAGGCTGATCCGTTGCAGTTATCTGGTCACTAACCGGCTTCGCTGTTATTTGCATTACTGTGCTATCATGCTCATCGCCCAACTACAACTCTGGAGAGTAAGGATTTGATCACCATCCTACTGTACAACAACTTACCCAGATTTAGATTCGTCTTTGGCGACTTTATCAACGAGACAGGCTGTAAGTTGAGCTTCAACCAGTTTCACTCATTACAAATGCTAATAGAACATAGGGCCCGATGGTCTTGCTTGGCTGCTTGGGGTATGTTGCAATCGAGACAAGTTCGCATCTTGTCACTAACTGAGTAACAGCTACTTCAAGGAGGCTTTGGTCTTACTGGATTTGTATGGCTGCTCCCACACGCTGCTCGATAGTCATTACTAACTTTGAAATAGGATGGAGTTGCGCACATGATCGAAGGTATTGGCGCGAGCATAACACTTTACCTAGCACAGACGCTAAACTTCAGCAGAGATCCCGAACCCCTCAGTAGTAGGGCCTAAGATTATGATCGGCTGCGTTGCTATTGGCACTTTCACCGGCACCATCTTCTTGATTGTACTGCTCTTCGTTGCTGGTGACATCAACAACGTCATCAGCTCCGCAGCTACTCCCCTGCTTCAGATCTTCTACGATGCGACGAGGAGCAATGCTGGATCTATCTGTCTTTTGATGTACGCGAGCACTGTCCCGCTTGGTCACTTCTGATCAATGCTGACGGAAATTCTAGTTTTCCCTTGGTCTGTGTCCTCTTCGCCGCTGTTACCATCACGACGACAAGCAGCCGCATGGTCTATGCATTCGCAAGGTAACCACCACGCGGCTTGATGCCGGCTTGTGAATATGAGCTAATGTTCGCGACAGAGACGGCGGTCTCCCGGCTTCGCCTTTCTTCAGCAAAGTTCATCCGAGACTGCAATTGCCCCTGAACGCGTTGTACCTGACTAGCTTCTTCTGCATTGTCTTCGGATGTATCTTCCTCGGGTCTTCCAGGTAAGTGATCAGCAGATCTTGATGGCACAGTAAAACCCAGCCGAGGAGGCCATCGCTAATAAGTGATTAGTGCATTTAATGCTATTCTCTCTTCGTCTGTGATTCTGCTCGACATTGCATATGCCATTCCCATTGCTGTGAATTGCGCTCGGGGCCGGAAGATGCTGCCTGAAAGACCTTTCGTTCTGCCCAGTATCTTTGGCTGGATTGCCAACATAGTACGTCAAATGAGGCCCGGATATTAAAATGATGCGCGACACTAACGGTATACCTAGATCTCCTTGTGCTACATCACAATGACCACTGTCCTCTTCGTTTTCCCGCCCGATCGCATCGTGACCGGCAGCAATATGAGTAAGTTCGCTATCGACTATCACCGAGTCAACGCCGCTAACTAGAGTAGACTACTGCATTGTTGTTGTTGGAGTAGTCATGATCTTGTCAGTCTTCCAATGGATTGTTGACGGTCGTAAGAACTTCTCCGGCCCCCGAATGGACGTCGATGTGATTTCGGGACAGGTTGCCGCCGGTGGTGAACCTGCTAACTATGCCGTGGAACATGGTATTCCCCATGATAAATAAATGATATATGTTTCCAGATTAGAGCGAAATTTGTCTCCGAGCACAGGTGCCGAAGGACAAATCTGTCACGAGTTTACATCTCTAGAGAGTTGATTTCATAGCAATCTACTGTATTTGTTGGGAAGCCAGAATAGGACTAGCTTGGTAATATTGACACTGCCTGATGACATAAGCTAGCATAACAGGAGTAGCTACGTTGCATAAAAGATGTCATCAGTTGCATCATCCAGCACCAGTTGGTACATGGTTGAGGCATCTCTTCCCCGCTCTCACAACTATTGATCTTTGTTTCATACCATCTACTAGGTATTTGATTGCGGACTGCAGATTAGAGTTGTTATGCTTGGAACTTGGCCTGAGATTAGCGCTTCGCAGTGGCGTTGATCTCTCATGCTCGTACTCAATAGCATATCGCCTGATCTCAACGTTCAAGACCCACCGGAGGCCAACAAAGTGATCCGCTCCCTTGACTTTCACAACTTATCGGCCTACCCACTACTCCTTATTGTGATTCGTGATCCCCACTAAACAACATGGACATGATCTCTTTTCTACCCTCATTCGGTCAATGGAGACCGTGGGGAGATTCCAAAGTCTTCAAAATCTCTCCGGTTGAAGTGCATGAGATCGATACGGCCCAAGAGAAGCCTGCCCGTGCTCTAAAGCATCTACTTAAACTGAACCACGCCAACTACGCTTTCTTGTGGAATGAGCGCAAATTTCACAACCATGCACCTCATGTTTGTCACTGTATAGTCAAGACATAGTCCGGTATTGTACTGATTGGCACAGATCCTCAGCTCAGCCTTCCTGCAAGGCGCAGATGCGGATGATTTAAATCGTATATACGAAAACGAGTCTAAATCTCTCGATCCCTGGGAAGACTCTCCCGGCGAGATCAGTACTTATGACTGGCGGGACTATCTTTCGCGCCGAGAGTAAGTCGCCAATCAAGTCCTTGGTGCAATGGTCAATCTTGCTGACCATCTGTCCCAGATATCAACGTGCGTTTGTAGACTTCTTCGAGGATGAACTCGTCCGGCATAGCTATGACTGGAAAGAAGTCGTTTTTCAGTACCTTTTGTCAGGCAAAGAACCGTTGTTCAGCTCTCTTGTTGCAGATCGTGCGTGGCAGCCTCAGACCCTCTCCGCTCTACCTCTCTAATATGACACAGTCGGACACCCCCTTATTCACCTCGCATATGCTTTCGAGATGTCCAGTCGCGAAGTAGCTATGGAGGCAATGGGTATGGCCGCAACCTGCTACGGTAGTATCCATAAATACCTCGACGACCCAACCTACTCTAGGATCGAACCCTCCTACCACACCACTTCTCTGTTCGAGGTCCTCGCCAAAGTCCGGGCTGACAAGCACTTCGACAATCTCTTCACTACATCGGGTGAGGAAAACATCGAAGTTCTCTTCCGCGACCACGAAGCAGCCCTCCTCAATCACTGGAACGCATGGACGATCCAAGATCCCGTCTCCCAGTTCCGCGAGAGCCAGGAAGTGGCTGCGGCGCTGCTGACCGCCACGGTGTCCGCCGCCCATCCCAAGTACGACTTCTTCCTCGTGCACACTCTCACGACGAGCCACGCCGTGCGGATCCTGCTCCCCCTCATTCCAGGGAAGTTCCAGATGGCGTTGGTCCGGCAGTGGTGGCTCATGACGCTGAGTGTGTATGTCGCGGGGCTCCGACCGCAGCTAGATCTTGAGAGAGTCACGGGGTACGAGCTCAAGGGCCGAGATTGGAAATGGACGGCACACAAGGCCGTCAAGGGGCAGTACTCGACGGACGCGCACTACGTCAAGGCGATCCGGGCTTTGAGAGAAGCGGCCAATACGTGGGGGGATCCGGAGGAATTCTACCTTCGGGCGGCTGTTCGGTTTGCAGATGAGTTCGATGACTGGGCATTTTGAAATGGGAAAACAAGATATGGGACTCTGAGATTATTACCTAGTAGGTTTGGTTGCGGTTTTGTTATCCGGTAGTTTCTGGTTCTGTGGATTATGACATGATTTATTGGCTGGGTGCTATTTTTGGTGGGAGTTTGTACCTCTATCCCAGTCTAGTGTACCAAGTTGGCAACTCTCTGTACTGTAGTGCCAGGATCTTCAAATCGAGATATCGTGCTTGCGGCATAGTTGCGTGGATCTCTACTCCGTACATACTCTGAATCTCCATTGTATGCAGGCCTCAGGCACCAGCAATGACACAGACCGCTTTATAGACCGCCTTTGAGCGGCAGAATGCTCCGAACCTCGAGACGAAAACCCCGGACACAAGCGGAGATAAGAGGTAACAGCCCACGAAATCCTGTCTGCGAAACTGTTCAAATAGTCTAGGCGGTGGCACAAAGAGCCCACTTGCACCACCCAAAGCAAAGCGCAGCGCGTCAACAGCTTCCACCACCAATTTTCGTTATCGACCTTCCAAAGGCAACCTTGGGGACAGACAGCATTAAAATCCAATACCACCACCACTATCAACCTTTCTACTAACACAGAAGTATACTAACGATAAGGGATCTCAACTACCGCAAAACCGGGGGAACCACACACACCCCCTTTCTGCACAATAGAAAAAGATGCAACTGACGCCAGGGACAGCCGAGGACCAGAACCAGAACCAAAACCAGAACCCTCTGGTCTACCTCCACGCCGAACTCCTCCCGCATATCCGTCACATAACCCTCTATGTCTCTGTTCCTGCTGCGGAAAATGACGCCGCCCAATCGCAAGACTCCTCACGCACACCAGTGAGGGAAACCACGGGAGATGTGCAACTCACACTCTCCGAGTCCCGCCGCGCCGTATCGGTGTCCGTCACACAGCCTAACTCGACACAACCACAGGAGGAGAATAGTGGCGACGACGACGACGACGCCTGCTCAGCCACGAGAGCAGCCGAGCCAGCAATGGAAACGATGAAACTCCCCGCGCGGGTCACGGAGGGCGCACGATATGTGCTCCGCGCACCGCAGTGGCAGCACACCCCTGAGGGGCGGCGGGAGTCGTCGTTTCGGATGCAGGTTGACGCTGATAATGGGAAGGGACTGTTGGCGGGAAGCGGGGAAAAGGAGGAGGAGGAGGAGCCGGTGGGCGGGTTTGTGCCGTGGAGGGCGCCGGACATGCGGCCGGGGACGCGGGTGAGGTGTCGTGGGTGTGAGGGGGTGGTTCTGGATCCGCAGCAGCCTTCACGATCGGAGGGGTGGGTGTGGAAGGATCTGCCGAGTGGGAATTGGGCGGAGATGATGGATTTTTGGCATTGTCATAAGCCGGATCCTGAGGTTGGTCATGGTCATGGAGATGGGGAAGGTGAGGGGGAGGGGGAGGGTGGCCTTAATGCCGGGGATGAGCGGCGGCAGCAGCAGCAGCAGCAGCAGCAGGGTACAAAACCAGGTGGAGAAGGTCGACCGGATGATCCGAATGCAACGGTCAAAGGGTATGGGGCTGCGAATCAGGTCGTGGCTACCGTGGGCACGATCCTGGTGGATGTCGCGACGTTTCTGGTGGCGGCGGAGGATTGTTTGGGGGTGAAGAAGGTAAGAATCTCTGTTTCTTTGATTGTGGTCTTTTGGTACTTTGCGAGATGGAAAGCTTGTGCAAGCAAGGCTTGGTATTCTCAGTCAATGAGGGCAACAAGAAGGAGACCTTTTCTGGCCTGTTTTCCTCCGTGCTATGGTCTCCGATACAATTGCCCGACATCAATCATGGGCCTTGGTCCCTTTTTCTTTCATGGTGCAAGAGAAGCAGGAAGGGGGGACTACTGATGGCTATGCGTGGCTGGTTGTCCTATATGGTGATGTAGTTATCCTCTTCTCTCCCTCGCGATAGGAGATGGATCTCGCAGCATCATTGTGGCACCGGCTTGCTTGGTCGTTGGTAGCTTCCTCTGAGAGCTTCGTTCTGGGATCAAGGCTGGCGCCCTCGCAAAAAGTTCCTTCGTTGTCTTTTGATCCCGAGTTCGATGGGAGGCGACGTGATCATGGCGAGGTACATTCGTGGTGTGGTATTATACATGGAATTAGTTTAGACCTATAGAACATGAGACTCAACTTCATGCTGGCGTATTGCGAAGCACTATCTCTCTCTGCCTCTTTCCTTTCCCTCTACTTGCCGTTATATCATTAGAACCTGCTAATAGATCAATAAAAATCTCTTTAGGACCCGGACTCAGATGATATCCACTGTTGCAACTGTAATACATTACTCGGCCAGGTCGACCCTGTAGCCAAAGGCTGGAGACTCTTCAAGACCGCTCTCTCGGCCACGACGAATACCGGTACCGAGCAATCAGAGTGGGAAACCCACCCCATCGAGGTCATCATCGCCGCCCAACTCCTGGAGCTCGTTGAACGAGAAAGCGCCCGCCGCTTCGTCGTGCACTGGGGGCACAGCAGTGGCTTGTTGGTACGTTTCTCCCAATTTCTCCTAGGAAGTCATGGTCGTGCCTCTCAGACGTTTCAAGCGCATGCTAAACTCCCTTTGTCGGGAAAAACACAGATCTGGGTCTTCAACCCCGACATGCGGTATTCCAACTCAAGCGCCCACCACAGCATCGCCGCCCAGCGAGCGATGAAGGTGTTCTTCCAGCGTCTCCACAACGTGGAGCAGATGCTACACCCGGAGGTCGGAAAGCCATCGAGCACGCTGGCCTTGGAGGAGGTGCAGCTGCCGGAGGAGACGTATCGGGCTTTCGAGGAGGTGCTGGACGCGCGGAATGCGATGCTGCCGGTGTCGGCGAGGGTGTTTAGGGAGTGGAGGGTGGGGATCTTGCATCGGTTGCACCGACGTTGATGTTATCTGTTCTTGGTGGAAGGGAGGTGCGTGTGGATACCTTTGTACGGCGGATTGATGCTGGGTTTACTGGGGGATTGCGACACTCTTGATATAGTTATGAGGTGCTTTTAGATATCATATTGATGTATAGGTTACAGTGCCTGTTTATAAGAAATACTTTACTTAATGACGAAGCTTTTGTAGAGTAGTTGTGTACAAAAGCTACTTCATATAGGCCAAAACTGGTCAGATAGAGCTGAGTTCTATACATCAAAAGGGTATGTACAGCTCCAAGAAGTAACACGTTATTACCCTGAGGGCAAATGGTTAGCTTTGTATCTATAATTCCATTATCATGTACAACACAAGTTGAAGCATGCAAAGCCACCATAGTACAACTATTGTCAAACTGCAATACAGTGGTCAGCAATGAGACCGAACAATCAATCAAGCTTTCATATACAGTACTGTGCCTGGTGGTGATGATTGTCCCAAATAGGCTATCAATAACTAGCGGCCGATCGCGTGAATAGTGAATAGCGCAATTGATGCCTCGGGCCGTGCAACGCTATCCGCTGGAACGATCGGCTTCCCATCCCCCCTGTTTCGAATCTCCCACACACACCCACACACAGAGACACTCTCCAACCTTCTTTTTCCCAATGTCGTAGATTCTGTCTTTTCTTGACTTTGCTAAATTGTCAACCGGCCCAGAGACCTCAAAGCCAGCTGAGATTTGTTGTCCACCTCTTGATCGCAACGAATGCCGATCCACCTTCACCGATAGCGATCCCCCGATCTTATCAGCCTCCTAGCTACCCCAGCCATCTGTCCTGTCCTACGTGCCTCGCACCGACGCATGTGTCTTTCTCACGCCTACTGATTCACATCTGAATCCGCGCCCTCCCATCATGGGGACATACGCCGATGATGGAAACCCGGAGTTCCTGCCAATGAGCCGCTCGAGGACTGCCTCTCAGTCATCCTCCGATTCGGACCTCTCCGTCGACACACCGTTCCCCGACGAATCCAAATTCACAACCACCCACTTGAACAATCCCTTAAAGTCCAATTCAGCCGAAGATGCGAGATACCGAGACGTGGAGGAAGGCGAACCGCAGCCCGACGAGCCATTCCTACCCTCGTCGCATAAGAAATCGGCAGCATCCACCGGACGCCGGACCTCGCGTATAATCTGGGCATTGGCCATCCTGTGCGTGGCAGGTTGGCTCTGGGGGTTGGCGCTGTTCGTGACGCAGAAGCGGTCCGGCGACCTCGCTGTCTCCGAAGCGCTGCAGTCGCATGATTCCAGCCCCTTTTCGGACAGCACGAGTTCCGGAAAGCCTGTCACGCTGGAGCAGGTGCTCAGGGGACAATGGCAGCCCATGTCGCACGCCATCTCATGGATCGCAGGACCCGACGGTGAAGACGGCTTGCTGGTGGAGCGAGGAGAAGGCGAGGGCAAGGCCTACCTGCGCGTGGAAGATATCCGCAGCCGCAAGCAGGATGTCAAGGGCCAGGAAAGTCGGGTGCTGATGGAAAAGCCCACCGTGCATGTTGATGGGCGCGATATCTTCCCCGCCATGACATGGCCCAGTCCCGATCTCAAGAAGGTACTGCTCTTGTCGGACCGTGAGAAGAATTGGAGACACTCGTACACGGGCAACTACTGGATTTTCGACGTCGACACCCAAACGGCGCAGGCGCTGGATCCCAGCGAGCCCGATGGACGCGTCCAGCTCGCGGTCTGGTCGCCTGCTTCGGATGCTGTGGTCTTTGCCAGGGGGAACAACCTATACCTGCGGAAGTTGTCGTCGGATAGGGTTGTTCAGATCACGAAGGACGGCGGCGCGGACCTTTTCTACGGCGTACCTGACTGGGTTTACGAAGAGGAAGTTATCTCCGGCAACAGTGTAACCTGGTGGTCTAGCGGCGGCGAGTACCTCGCGTTCCTTCGCACCAACGAATCCTCCGTGCCTGAATTCCCGGTCCAGTATCACCTCTCGAGACCCTCTGGAAAAGAGCCGCTCCCGGGACTCGAAAATTATCCGGAAGTAAGGGAGATCAAGTATCCCAAGCCCGGTGCCCCCAACCCTGTCGTGAATCTGCAATTTTACGACGTCGAGAAACAACAAGTATTCACAGTTGACATCCCCGGCGCCTTCAGTGATGAGGATCGTATCATCATTGAGGTGGTCTGGGCGGGTGCAGAAAAAGTCATTGTGCGCACCACAAACAGGGAGAGCGACATCCTCAAAGTCTTCCTGGTTGACACAAAATCCCGCAGTGGTAAGCTTGTTCGAACTGAAGACGTTGCAAGCATCGACGGTGGCTGGGTGGAGCCATCCCAGTATACCAGGTTCATTCCCGCTGATCCAAGCAATGGCCGGCCACATGATGGTTACCTCGACACTGTGATTCACAATGGCTACGACCATCTTGCATACTTCGCGCCCCTCGATAACTCCGAGCCAGTCATGCTCACCACAGGTGAATGGGAAGTGGTCGAAGCTCCTGCCGCCGTTGATCCCCACCGAGGCGTCGTCTATTTCATTGCAACAAAAGAAGCTCCTACCCAGCGCCATCTATACCAAGTCAACTTTGATGGTTCCAACCTCAAGGCTCTCACAGATACCTCCAAACCAGGCTACTACGATGTTTCCTTCTCTCAAGGTACCGGATATGCACTGCTCAGTTACAAGGGCCCCTCCATTCCATGGCAGGCAATTGTCAATACCGAGACAGACGAAATCATCCTCGAAGAAACCATTGAGGACAACGCCGGCCTCGCTCGTATGGTCGAGACATACGCCATTCCGACGGAGATCTACCAAAATGTCACCATTGACGGCTTCACGCTCCAGGTCGTCGAACGTCGCCCCCCTCACTTTAATCCGGCCAAGAAATACCCCGTCCTCTTCTATCTCTACGGCGGACCCGGCTCGCAAACAGTCGATCGTAAATTTACCGTCGATTTCCAGGCATACATCGCCTCCAGTCTGGGCTACATAGTCGTCACTGTTGATGGCCGAGGCACGGGCTACATCGGCCGCAAAGCACGATGCATTGTCCGCGGCAACTTAGGCTACTATGAAGCTCACGATCAAATCGCCACGGCCAAGATGTGGGCCCAAAAGACCTATGTTGATGCAACCCGAATGGCGATCTGGGGCTGGAGCTATGGCGGGTTCATGACCTTGAAGACACTCGAGCAAGACGCAGGACAAACATTCCAATATGGTATGGCTGTTGCGCCTGTGACCGATTGGAGATTTTACGGTACGTGTCCAAGTCCCGAAGACAAGGTTGACCCTCACATTGACAATGTATCGAACAGATTCTATCTACACTGAACGCTACATGCACACCCCCGGACACAATCCTACGGGATACGACAATGCCTCTATCACCGACATGTCTGCGCTCCAGGAAACCGTGCGATTCCTTGTCATGCACGGCTCCTCAGACGACAACGTCCATCTCCAGAATACCCTTGTCTTGGTTGATAAGCTGGACTTGGCTAGTGTCGAGAATTACGATCTGCATGTGTACCCCGATTCGGACCACAACATTGCGTTCCACAACGCGCACACCATGGTCTATGAGCGTAAGTTGACCTCCTGTCCCACGGTTGAGTGCCTCTTGAGAGAAATACTAATTTGTGCAAAGGTCTTTCGAGCTGGCTCATCAATGCATTCAATGACGAGTGGCATCGTATCGATCACCCCGTTCCTGATGAGTCGATGTGGAGTAGGGTCAAGCGCTCGCTGCCCATTTTGGCACATTAGCAGGTTATGGGGCTCTCTGACGGCTGGCGTTCTTCCGTTCATATGGGCAATATCTCAAATTTTCTTTCTTCTTTCTTTGTATATACGTACCGGAATAAATGGATTGGTTTCCTCCAAGCCTCCTTTCGTCCTCCGGCGATCCACACCCTCTTGTGTGATCATGATCCTTCCGCCACGCTCATTCTACCAATCACCCGAGGAGGAAAATCCTTAGAGAGAAAAAAAAACCCCCCACTCTCGGTGCCGGGCCGTCTGCGCTTTAGCGGGATTACCGCCCACGGCAGTCAGTCAGACCGGTGTCCACCGAGGGCCAGAGTGGGACGAGAGACGGGATCGGAGGAGACAAGTTGACCAGTATCGGCATGCCAAGCATGACAGGTGAGGATCCCCTTCTGAGATCCCAGGATCCCGCGGCAGGTCACGATAGTTTCCACGATAAAGTGATGGCTTCGCCTGCCTGGGATTGGAGGAGAACGCCCCATGCAAGGGCCACACCACCTGCGTGCCGCGCTGCATGTGTCGCTTATCATTGCCGGGTACGATCCTAGCATTTTTGAGGGAGAACTGGAGTCAGTCGGGTGGGATCGTCTAGACCGTATGTCCCGTATACGGGCCGTATGTCAGTCAAGATCTATTCACTCGGATATCTCATCCAGACTCTTGTGAATGGCTCGAGATAAGGTGATGGGGACGCACATTGACAAGAGATCTGGGAAGCGGGCGACGATGGGTCGGGGTAGTTGCATGCACTCTGTAGAATCAGAGAAGGAGAAAGGGGAACAATGACTGCCTCAGGCCGAGCACCTTCTGCTACCCTTACGGAACCTAGCCCCGTACTTGATCGCGACTTCCAATCTAAGGATGTATAGAGGAGCCCACGATGACCATACTACTGCTGAGCTTTCTCACTCTCTCACACACCTTCTATCTCCTTTGAACTCTCCACTGACATCCCTTGAGGTATCTGTATTATATGCTTTTTGATCCTTCATTATCGTACACTGAGAGATGAAATATACCCTTCCCCACCACCGCTGACTGCTGTAGAGGGATGGATGCCAGAGAGCCACCTTCACTCTGCTGGAGAGCGCTCAGTCTCCTTCAACCGATAGCGCCGCGCCTCATCCATCCGGCCCCAACCCCTTGTCACGGACCCATCAATTCCCATTTTCCAATTCAGAAAGTGTTGAAAACCAGAAGAGAGAAGAATATGAGAGTTCCCGAGATCAGCAAGCACGCCGTGACGTTTCTCCCCCTCCTCGGAAGCGAGTGGCCTATCTCTCTCTCTTGCTCTCTTTTCTGTTTATCCCCGGAAGGTAGAACAAAACGAAAATTCTCGCCAAGAAATGGTACTGAGATCGGAGTTTCAGAAAATGATTCGCTGAATTCGTTCCTCGTTAGTAAGGCGTTCAACTTTCATGGTACTCGCGAGGAAGCCTCACACTCTTGTTCCAAATCAGCCAACGGGAGTTCCGCAGATGTGGCAGTTCTTGCCAGGGATGACCCAGACTTCTTTGCCCTGCTTGGCGCAGGTCGGGCAACGCGCTCCTGGCATCTGTTTGGGAAGAATCGATGTCAGAGACCTTGATGCACGAATCGTAAGTCTTTTCTCGAGAACACTCACAGTCATTGTGATTGATGTGTTGACAGAGTCGATTATGCGACAGGCGCGTGACGATGAGAATATTGCGACAGGCAAGGATATGGTTTCAGGTTGCTTTGAGGGTCTCCGATGGAGGTGATTGGAGGTGAGCTTTCACTGAACAAGTGAAAAAAGGTGGGCGTGCTTTGCTTGGGCAAGTGTGCGGTTTGGCTGATGGGTATACACTCCGATGGTAGGTGCCTTGCTGCTCTTTATATACCTCGTTATGGGATGGACTTGTTGGCTTTCTCAAACATCCATTAGACCAGGAGACACTTTGCGTATCCATCGGGAGATCATCACTCTAGCCCGGACCTGTCGATTGGAGACACGACTAAATTGGAAAATTATGCATCCAAGGTACCAATCTACATGGACCCTGGTGGGCAACAAACATGTCATGTCGGCCGCATTGATTATCCAAGTTACTCGGATCTTCCCGTTCATGTCTTGCATTGCCCAACCCGGCCAATAGGAACATCATTTCGAAGCGATTTCAGCTGGGAACTTGCAATGTGTGATAGATACATGTTCAGCTATCCCGGATGTGACTAGTGATCATGAGAAGCACCGGGCAACAGAAAGTTGAAAAAAAAAAAAAGCCAAATCGAAAAGATTCCAGAAAAAGGAAAAAGAAAAGCGCCACTTGTGAAACGCGAAATGGGAACCGTTAATGCATCCAAATAGTGGAAACTCGGTATTCGGTAGTCTCCACTCAGACTTGCGATTTGCACTTATGACTGGTGCGTGACTGGTGCAAATACATTGATATCCCGCTCAACAAATCTATACATAGCTATCAGAACCCAGCGGTGCTGAGTGTCGCAGTCCAGAATGAGCTCCAGGTGCTTGACCGCCTATGGCTGACAGTGTATAGGTCACACCTCATCTAATTTGATGTTCGGAGCTAGCGAGTTGAGAGACTTGGCGCCGATTGCGATGAATTGATGGCACAGCTGTACAGCAGTTTTGTACTGTATACTCCAACGGATGTCCGAGTACTACCAACCGTAACTAGCATGCTTAACGTCCTTCCTGAAACGTCAAATGAACAATCGCTTCTTCCGCAACGGCCACACTCACACTGCGCAAATCTGATTGATACTCTCGATGCGCTGCTGAACGCTGAGCGGCAGAAAGGGTCATGGCTGAAAACCTCATCAAGCTAGGTCAGATTTACCGGGTTTGTCAGGCAAGACATGGGGTTTGCGACACCTGGTCCCACATTGGAGGGCCTGGCTTCGCTAACTGCGCCTAACCCAAGGAATGCCGAGTAGGATGAAGTTCGGTGCTTCACATTGAGCTATCTCTCCTCTATGCCTGGATAGCGCATTCGACAAGTGGTGTTACCAGAGTCAGCTATTATCGCTTGTTTGCTTGCTCATTGTCTTTGTCGTCATTCAGCCCCTGCGATTTGCTACTGCAAACCAGAATTAATCGACGGAATCGCGGGTAGATGGGCCAATGATCGAAACGGATCAGCTACATTAGACAACCAGTCTGCTGGGACGAGAGGGAAACCTGGATAATTTTCGGTTCTATACACTATCATGGCAGAAAGAGTGCATAGGCACTGCGACTGCGTCTCCAAAGGTCGGCCCGTCCTCTTTTGTTGTTGGCGGTGCCTCAACGCTCGTCTATCATTTTGTTTGCTGTCCCCACTCGGGCTTTCTCCTATCTCCTATTCATTTCACCTTTTTTTTTCTCCTATTTCTTCTTTCTTGTTTTGTCTTCTTGGCTCCCCAGTCCGAATCTGTTTCCAATTGCGACCGAAAGATATTGGTATGGAGTAAAGGAACCCGAAAAGACCGATCTTATGCCATCCATGTCTTGCATCCCGCCGACGATGCTTCGCTGGTGGAGCGTTGACAAGTGAAAGTGAACCTTATCGCAACCGGGGAATCTCGCATTCTCGCACTCCACAGCAGGTTCTGATCGGTCTGTCTCTCTCAGCTCTCAACCATTGGTCTCAAAAAGCTGCGTGACCGGTGCTACGCAGCTCCAGTGTTACTAGTACCACTTATCTGGTGCAGCGCCTTCGATTGCAATCGGATACATAAACTGTGGGGCCGTTGAACTTATTCGGTTGCCCCATCGGATGACAGGAGATCGTCGATCGAGGATGTTTGTTGTGCCTCAATCCTGTTTTTTTTCCTTACGCGAACGGCACAGGCAGCCTTCACGAAGGGTGCTGGAGATTGAGTCTCTTAGGCAGTCCAGTCGCTCGATTGAATTGGTCAACACCGCAACTAGTGCAGAATTGCCTGTCACACTAAGTCGGCAAACTCCCAATTCCAGCCCCCCAATCCCAAAAGCGGCACTTCTGATATTGGTCAAATCTGACCTGTCACTTTTTAATGTTGTTCTCCTTCTCTCCGCACGCCCCTCTCGATTTTCCCAACTCTCCAGTCAAAGATTGAGAACGGGTTGCCTTTGTTCCCCCAACCAGAAGGATTATCGCCACAATCAATCTACCCCTCCTCCTGAATTTTTCTTGCTCAAGGTCTATCGCTTCTCTTTTTGTGTTCCCTCGTATTTGATCGCGCACGCAATGTTTCATCATCTACACCCCCGTCGGCCCCCCTCTCTCCCCCGCGCAATGAGGGGAATTGGACTAACTTTGCGGTGATTTCTCAACCTTCCATCAACCAGCACATTTCAATCACCGTTTCACGATTTAACACAGTAGTGTGTGGGAGCAGCAACAAATGCAACCAATCCGAGCTGCGCATTCCACACCTTGGAGGGGCGCCACACCGCAAGTTTAACCATGAAGACACTGCATCTAAACTCCATACTCGATGCAGAATCTCCCCAAGTGCCCGCAGCTCTGGTCGCATTCCTCACTCTGTGAATCGCGATTGAGCCCCGGAGGGGTCTGGTGGGGAAGGGCGAAGTCTTTTTTTCGTTCGCGGCACTTTATGATTGATGGACAGTGCATCTTGCATATGCCTGCAAGCGCTTGACGTTCCCAATATGCATGCTTACTTACATCATTGAGAGCCGTCTACTTGTGTTGTCCCAGATCAGAGAACAGCTCACCCCATTCCTTTCTTGTGGAGAAGGGCTGCCATGCGCATCAACTCTGCAGTTGTCACTTCTTTGTTTGGCATCTGATACTTCAGGCATAATTATGTAGGGATTCGTCGAAAGATGGGATCAGTTACTGATCACTCGAGCCTGCCAGCTTGCTCTTCGACTCATTGGGCTTTCTGGGTATGTCGGACCGCGAGGCACAGCTCGTTTGACCCCTACACAGGAAACCTGACTGGATAATCTTCGGCATGTGGCTTGCGCCCGATGGCCAGATGTGCGGTTATAATACCCTACTTCTCGGTGTATCTCGGGGGTTTAAAAAGCCATCTCGAAGGCTGCATAGCTTTATCGTCTATTGGCAGGGGTTGATGGCCGCACTTTCATCGCTGATGCGCCCCCCCCCCCGAACAATTCCTTTGTAGTCCCAATATCACCTTACCTGCAGTCGCTACCGGTGATAGTGGTTAGGTATCACCCCGGTCGCAAGCGCATGGCCAGCGAAGCAGCACTGGCGTAGGACCTGTCGCCTTCAAAACATCACAGACGGGTTGTGTATCTCCTTCTAGCCGCGTGCATCTTCGATATGCTCATCTGAAACCCTCGACGTGATGCTCTCATGGCCCTTTTCTTTGCCGGGCTGGACAACCCGGCTTACTTGAGAGACGAAAACGTGCGATGGCGCGGTCCGGTGTCTCTTCCTCTCCTTCACAAGCTCCTTGGACGCCTGCACCGCGCTCTTGTCCGGATTGGTGAACAAGTAATCGATTTCTTCCAGCGTGAAGTTCGCCGTCTCAGGATAGCAGAAGTAAATCAGCGGGACAAAGGCCAAGTTCGTGCACATGAAGATGAGGTAGGCTTTCCACTGCAGGCGGTTGATGATGATCGGCGTAATCATGACGACGAAGAAGTTCTTCATCCAGCACCACCATCAGTATTGATTTTCGGGTTCCCACACGGTCAATGCATATCTTAGAGAGGAGTATGACTTACCCAGATCCAATTGGACGAAACTCCGATCGCCGTCCCCTTCGCGCGCGCATGGAGAGGCAAGATCTCCGGGACATAGCACCATGGGATGCAGTTGACTGAGGCACCGAAGATGAGCATGTAGAGGAAGAAGAATGCCACCGCGGCGGCAGAGGTCGCGTGCTCGTTGGCGTGACCTTTGAAACTGAGTAGGACGGACACCATCATCATGCAGATCCCAAGGCCGAATGAACCCCAGATCATGGGAGCCCGGCGACCGACCCGGTCGACGAAGAAGGTCGGGAATATACTGCCCACCACGAACATGATCTGGACACAGCCGCCCAGGATCATGGAGAGGTTCTTGCTGAGGCCGACGTTGCTGTTGAGCACGGTGGGGATGAAATAGCTGGGAATTTGTTAGCCGGGAGATGTTGAACTTGAGATATCTGGGATGTGTAGATCGTACACGACGAGGTTGATGCCGCCGACTTGGTTCATGAATTGCATTCCGTAGGCAAGAAGCCTGTAACCGGCTGATTAGATGATGACAGATAATGCGGTTCTGAGGTTGGCCAGACTTACACTCGATGGCCTGTCGAGACCTTGTCGTGTTTGAGGATGTTCCTATGAAGGTCAGTAGGGCTCCTCGAACTATACCAACAAGAACATACCTCCACTGGAACTCCCCATGCTGCGTCTCCACGGCAAGGGCTTCCAGAATCCCCGCCTGCTCAGCAAGAATCTTCGGGTCATCTTTAGGACGACCGTAGACATCGCTGAGAATTTGCAGCGCTTCTTCGCGACGACCTTCCTTGTAGCAATATCTCGGAGACTCGGGCAACCCGAACACGAGGATGACAACCACCTTGTCGGCGCGTAAGTCATGCGTCAGCCTTCAAGTGAAACAGGGTCACTCACAAAGGCAAAGAGCATCTGGCATGCAATCGGAAGTCTCCAAGCGATTTGACCGCCGACGAATCCCATCCCATAGTCGAAGAAGTAACTGCATGTGACCTCAGTCAGCATGAAGAAAGAACCGCCTGGCCTGCAATGGTCTCCGATCGAAACGCGACGTACCTGATGACGATTCCCACACCCACTAGGAGGGGTTCGCTGCAGACCAGCCGTCCGCGCTTGTTGGCCTCACAGAGTTCGGCCTGGTACATGGGCACTGTGGACGTCTCGATCCCCGTGCCGATGCCCGTGACGAAGCGACCGATCATCAGATGCGGGACTGAGAAGGCGGAGCATTGCAGCGTCGCTCCGATCTGTCGGGAAGGGTGATTTGGCCATCAGCTCATGAGCACTCCCAGTTGAGATCTCACCCATGGAACGGGGAGAGTCTGGGACGCCGAGACAAGAGCCCACTTACTATGACCCAGACCATGGCAAACCACATTGCTCGGCGTCGTCCCAGCCGTTCGGCCAGCATGAAGTTGACGAGACAGCCGGCGAAGCAGCCCAGGTTGTAGATGGAGACAATGATGCCGGTGAGGCTATCGTTGGGGTGGTTCATGGTGGCGAGGAAGTCATCGTTCTCCACGATTCCGGAGAAGACACCCTGGTCGTAACCTGGAGGAGAAGAGGTGTGAGTTGGGTTCTGGCTCGGCTGCTGCTGCTGCTGCTGCTGCTGCTACTGCAACAGACGTAGAACTGTACTGTACATGTACTTACCGAAGAGGATGAAGGCCATCCCACAGGCTGCCCAGATGGCGGCTTGCAGGGCAAAGCCTGTCCCAAACATGTTGATCTGCACCATTTTGCTCCTATGTTGCTCGCAGTTGTATGTAGATGTTCACAAGACATCGCGTCTGATCCCGGGTGATTGTGAATGGCTGAATGCAAGGTATATATGTACTAGCCCCCCTGGAAGGGAATACTCGGTGGCGTTTTGCGACCAGCCATTTGGACCAGCATGTTACGCGATTAACCTAACAGGAGACCGATCTCTCCCGCTCTAACGAGAGCAATGGATCTCGTCATTGATGGCCGGTAAGTCGGACGAGAGAAGCCGAGAAGACGGAAGTAACATCACTGATGATGATGATGATGATGATGATGATGATGATGTGAGCCGCGACAGAAGTCGGTCACGGGATGTCCCAATCGGGCAAGGGGAGGCTACGGCAACCGAATGTCACCCCGGAGTGCTGCTTCAACCCCGCAATCGGACTAAATCCAACCCACAACAGCTCATGGGGGATCTGCGCGTTGGCTGACGTTCCTGCCCATGTTACCTTGCGGAGGACCAGTTCCAGATGAAAAGAACGAGACCATTGGTGAATGTCTGACAATCTGGGGAAAGCGAAGTCACGAACAACAGGTTTCCATACCCCGCGCTGTCGATCGCACTAGAGCCGAAGTGGCCCTTTCGAAATCGGTTGTCTACCGAGGAAGAGAACAAACCCCTCAGATGTTGCGTCGCACTTGGTCTCCAACTCAGCAGCAACAGCAGAAGCAGCCTTCCTCGTCGCTTGTTACATCCCTTATCGCTTGTCTAGCATGATCTAGATTGGAACTTCGGGTCCGAACCAAGGAAACCAAGGAAAGGATGGACAAGCGACCCATGCCGGACCACCAGGTCATTGAGCCTCCCCCAAAGCGGCAGCGTCTCAATGATGCTCAGCACAAGCAATCCCAGCCCCCAGAGATAGAGATCGGTCTCGGCCCCTTGAGTGCTCGCAATCTCAACGATCCACCATGCAACCTTGACGGCGCCAATCTGCACAGCCCTTCCCATTCGGGGGGTGAATGCGGCTCATTCCAATCGCCGGCGGCTGGCAGCTGGACGCAAGATGGCTTCTCACAAGACCCGGACTTTCTGGCGTCCCAGGAAGAACTGCGATGCTTCCTTTTTTCCCTGGCAAATTCGGCGGTTCCGACCCGGGCATCTAGCCCAGACGCGGCCAGAAGTGGGGACAAGCATCTGGAACAATTGTCCCAACCCCAACCGAAGGACAGTAGGGATTCATGGCATGCCCCATTGTCTGAGGGGAGGCATCTTCAGTACCTCAAGAATTATGTTACTGAAGTGGCGCCATGGGTATGCCGATCTTTTTTCCCCCTTGATCACGCGCACTAGCGTATCTTAGAGCTGACCATACCGATGATGTATCGATCAAATCTGTAGCTTGACATGTTCGATTCACAATGCACCTTCCGCCATCAGATCCCTGCTCTCGCCCAAGAATTCCCGGCTCTTTCTTATGCCATGCTTGCTCTCTCTGCAAGGCAGATCGAACGCAAGAATGGCGTTCGGAATTGGTATGATAGTCTTGAGATGTACCAGGAGGCGATCCGGCGGTTGAGTCCACTCCTCCAGGTGCGCGACACGAAGGTTGTCGCAGCTTGCGTGCTTCTTTGCTGCTTGGAGATGATGTCGGCCCGGGCACAAGATTGGCGCCGTCACCTAGAAGGGTGCGCCGCGTTATTCAATGCTTTTGGTATCCACGGCTTTAGCCAGGGAGTTTTACAGGCAGTTTTCTGGTGTTATGCAAGGATGGGTAAGTCTCTCTATCTATTGTCATGGCAGCTCTCCGTGGAGAAGCAGTCATTCTCTGCCAAAAAGCTTCCTAATGGCTTGTGTCAGACCTCTGCGGTGCACTCATATCTGATGGCACGCAAACTACACTCCTACATCCTTGCAAGTGGCTGCCTCCAGGCTGTCAAGATGAGGATGCATATCGGCTTTTCCAGAGTGTTAAGTCACCGGACATGCACGCGAATTACGCAGTCTATCTGTGTATGAAGGCGACACAGCTTGTTTCGGATCGCACAAAATTCGTCGAGCTGGGCGAAGACAATGGCTGTACTACCGAAGAGTTCCAGTCTCGTTGGCTTTTACTCTGGAACGACCTCCAGTGCTGGCTATCTGAGCGGCCAGATGAGTTGCTTCCAGTTCAGACTGTCAGCCGCAAGCCTTTCCCTTATATCTTGTTTGTCCACTGGGCTGCCATATCATCAAATCAGCTTTATCACACAGCATGTATATTGCTGTTGAAAGTTATGCCGAAGGGTGTACGACTGCCGCGATCACCGGCCCTCTTTCCGCTATGGCATGCACGCCGAATCTGTGGTATCTCGCTGGCCAATCCACATCAGGGGTGTCTGAACAATTCAATCCAGCCATTGTGGATTGCAGGTCAGCTCTTCAGTCACAGATCGGAACACAAAGAGATCATCAATCTGATCCGAGGCATCGAGGCTGAGACTGGCTGGGGAACATGTTGGCGAATCCGCGATCTGGAATCTGCTTGGGGCTGCCGATAAAGTTTGCATGATTGAGCACCATGTTTATGATATCTTGCCAGGCACATCACACTAGAGGCGAAGCACGTCAGACGCCATCCAGAAACGACCAGTCCTGCTGTAGATCGCTCAGATACTGGCCTATATGCCACCCAGTGATTGAATAGATTCGCTCGAAACCCTGCAAGATTGCTTTCTGCTGGGATTCGTGCGTCATAGTCCGCGCAGAAACGAGGAAGGAGGCGACCAGACAAGGATCCCAGCAGTCACGGCAGTCATTGTTCAGTGCGATGCCGCAAATTCGCTGAGAATGCCAGAGTGGAGAGAGGAATCGAGCCTGTGGGTTGAGAAGCGCGGTACGTGGCTTGCATTGCAGAAGTAAGAGCGCGGCGGTGTGATAGAGCTGGTTGCAGTATGCGCCCACCCCATTTGCAAAGACTACCAGAGGAAGTCCGCTCCCTGTATTTGAGATATTGTCGTCGCCCTCTAGCTCAACCAATGGCCGGAACTCTTGCGGCCGTGAAGCATACCATCGGTCGAGTTCATCGAACGCCTGGAGCCAACTGTCCAAAATCTGATGGCAACCAGGAAAGTTGCGTGGGCTGGGTTGTTCATGGCATACCATTAAGGCCTTTCCACAAAGCCAAAGAAGAACACGTGCATAAAGTGAGACTCTTTCATGGGTATCATGGGTACGCGAAAGCAGTTCCAGGTTTGGCACGGGGCCGGAGGGAATTGGAATATGAAGGGCCGTGTCATTCGCGAGCGCTACACTCAAGTCTATCTAGCATTAGACAAATCAGAATTCGAGGAAAATAAGAACATCAGACCAACCTAGTCTGAGAAACGTCCAATAAATAGACGACTCGATATTCAAGAGCAAGGAGTGCTCAAGCAGAGGCTCTAGCAAGCAAAGGTTGTCATTTTGCAGAGTGCTCCAACCGTGAGAAAGATCGGACACTAAGAAATGTAACCTCTCTAGAATCGATAAAAGCGCCATCTCGGTAAGTTCAGAAGCAAGCCCAGACCCAAGGTGTATAGGTCTGAGTAAAGGCCTTCCACGACCGAGTGCATTTGGCTCTTGGTGATTCTGGTGAATGATAGACGCTTCCGATAGCGTCAACAACGCCGACAAGATCTGCTCAGAGCGTGTCGCCATTTGAGTGACTATGATCCCAAACGGATGCTTCAGGTCGCAGATATCTAGCTGTGGCATCTCAGGAGTTAGCCACTAAATACCTCTGCCTACACCGATCGACAGCAGAAGATAGATAAATATTTACCCAGGGAGCGACAAAATACCGATAATGACGCAAAAGTTCCAACTTCCGCTCATCTTCATCCATGACTGGGGGCGATGAGCCCAGCTCAATCACCCGCGACATTCCACCAGTGAGAGAATCCTCGCGCCGGCGTGCCATAGTCTCAGTGTCTGCTTGGTTGGCTGGAGTAGCAGTCATCATGGGTGAAGAGCCCGCGATCGGCTCCGGTGTCTCGAGGTATGAGATATCGTGAACCAGCGCAAGCTGATCATTTGCGTGCATACTCGAGCCCAGTGCAAGAAGCCCCTGAACAGCCGATGTATCCCTGTCACTAAAGAGCTCGTGGCCGCTCCCGAGCAAGACCTCGTCTTCAATCAAGGGCCCGTCTTCATGATATCGACCACCATCATCGGCGCGATCTGCTGGACTCTCTACTCGTAGAAGACTTGCATCTACTCCACCTAGATTGGAGTGAACGTCACCTCCCTCTTGCTTCTCCTTAGCCCGCTCATGACGAGAATCCGCCGACCGGGTACCGAGGGAAGATGAATCCAACTCCAACCCCTCGTCTTCCATGCCAGGAGTATTGACATCTGCGCCGTTCAAGGCCAGAGGATCCTCTTCGATGAACTAGAAACATAAGTATCAGTACACTCGCGCGAAACTCTGTTGGAGTTCTCAACATGAACAAAAACACATGCCAGTATACAAGAACCGGGATAGAGGAAAGCACATCAACAACAAAACGCCCTTGCACCCATTTAAACGCACCCGTAAAGTCTGAAACCGTCTCTTCGTCGACCTCGGAGTCCGAAGTTCCTTCGCAGGCACCGTGTACGTATTTTTCGAGAGAAAGGTGACTTGCATCCCATAGCTGCAGACGAAATTCTTGTCCACGCAGTTTTGGCAGCGTGGTTTGCCTTCGTCGCCTGTTTGTGTTCCCGGAGACAAACTGTTAGCCGGAATTTCTGGCAAGCATCGAGAATCCACAAACGATTGCAATAGGGTATATTTGCTTTAGGTTTCCATGATGATGGTGGTAGTGGTAGGTGCATGAAAAGGAAAAATGGAAGAAAGTGGGACTCAACTCACATTTGCGCCGTCGCGTGCGGCATCGTAAACACCCGGTTCTACATCTGGTAAATTTAGGCGGCGTGGGTGTCACTTTTGCTGCTGCTGCTGCTGCTGCTGCCATGGAGACGGTCGCTTGGTTGTAAGGAAGCAACACCCTTTTGAGGTGCTGAGAATCTGGATTGATCGCTGGGTAGGTAGGTAGGAGTTGCGTAGGTTTGAATCGATTCGGGTGTGCAGGATAGAAACAGAGGAGGGAACCGATGGGGAGGAGTAATGAATCCAGTAAGCCTAAGCGCGGGGTAGAAAACAAAACCCCCCACTGCCGGCGGCGCTTCGGGTTTCCATTTCGAGATTACCCCAGCTTTTCCAGGTTCTCCTCGGTTCATAAGCCGATCGGCTGGGACCACGTCATAATTGAGATGTGGTTGCAGCGCGACAATACTTTTGCTCGGAATCTTTTTGATAATCACGCCTGCCTATATTCTGACTGCCTTGGAGTATTGACGAGCATATGTAGTAATTTCACAGCCCAAAAGAAGTAACACCATCGTTGCAATGCACAGTTTACGCAGAATAGAAGGCTCCAAAGGGACAGCTTGATCAGGACCTATATACCTTCCCTACCAACCACGTTCTCTTTCATGGAAAGCTGAAGTTGGGGATAAACAGTGTCTCTTCAAATTATACTATGCAGCGCTTTGCGTGTGACCTGCTGTCAGCGCATGAGCATGGGCATAAACCCAATTCACATTCCTAACTTCGACATCAGAGGACAGTACACTGTCAGTTTCAAGTCATGGTCTTCGTGATCCGGACCAGCAGAACACCCCCAGTATCCACGCCCTTGCGATCATAAATATGAACAAAACGGTAGCCGTGCTGCAGTCTGCTGAGTCGTATGCACGCCCACCCAGCAAGCGAATCACGGAAGAATTCGTCATCCTTGATTTTGAACCTATCCCATAATCAGCATTCAATGTCCGAAGAACGGTTCTCGGAGAGCACATACCTGACAAAGCTGAGATCCTCCACAACGTCGGGTATGGGAGGAAACTCGATCTTCTGGCCCTCAAAATCTGGATTCGACCCCGTGGCACTTTTAGTGGTTCGCTTGTAGCCGGCTTTTTCAGAGTCTGATTCATCATCGCTCGCGGAGTCCCCAGAGTCATCGTCAGGAGTATCAAGATGGAGAATACAAGACACATAGGGATGAAACTTCTTCTCGCTCGTCTGACCTGGCGGCAGTGGCAGGTTTTGACCGGCGATGAATTCAATGGACAGGTTGAGCTGACGTCGTTTGACGATAATCGAGTCTGCATCAGAGCTTCGATACCCCGGAGGCTTGAGCACCCAGCCGTGCTCGCCTGCAAACATCCCATGATTGAGCATCATTCCCTTGTCGAGATTCTGCCAATTCAGTGCTACCATTTGGGCTCCGCGCCGCCAGAAGAAACCGGGGTCCATGTTAGAGGAGCCAAGACGTAGCCCCTTGGGGTACACGCGCATGAAGAAGTGGCGGTTGTGCTCGAATAGCGCATTGGGGTCCTTGATATGCGCCTCGCGTACTGCATTCTCCGATAGTGAGAAGACGTGACTCGGTACTTTGGCCTCTATGGTATTTCAGATGTGAGAAACAAGCCATGGAAAGCCAGCGGAATTGATTTGAACATACCTGGCTGCTTAAAGTCCTTAAAGTGGAAACCTTTGGTGAAAACGGCCAGCTTGCTCAGAGCATGCACGATTTTCGACGGTTTGTGGGGAGCTGAAGCAGGGGCCTCAGGCGTCTCAGGAGATGTGCTCGCGGGGCCTCGTGGTGTGCCTTGCTGTTTGAGCGTCTGAACATGCTTCAAGTATACTTGCTTCTCCTCTTCCTCCGGGTCCTCATTCTTGTGCACGCTGTTGGGGGCGACGTATTTCACCTTGATGAGGATTTTCCGCTTCAGCTCCTCCAGAGGAGGCGGCGTCTTGGTCGCTTCGATCTCCGGCGTCACTTCGATCAACATCCCCTTCCACGCCTCTTCCATAATCTCCACCATAGTGTGCTGCTGTTCATGACAGGCATGCACCTCTAGGCTCACAATCACCGGCAGGTCGCTGGTCACAAACGCGCTATCGCGGATGGCGTAGCATACATCCCGAAAACTGGCCTCCTTGGTGAGGGTGTGGCCGTGTAGCACCCGCGGCTCCGGACGCGCAGAAACCTGAGCTGTTTCTTCAGGCGGGTTTTCTGTCGTTGGAGCTTTACTTCCAGACGACGATCGATGATGGCCCAAGAAGCCCTCCAGTTTTCCCACTTCTTCAGAGATCGCGTGAAGACGCGGGTGGCTCTCTGTCGCTTTTCTGAGTCTCTCCATCTTTGACTTGCGACGGCGAGGCATCTGGGGCCTATCGTCGCCTTCATCAGAGCTCGAGTCATCGCTACTACTGCTGCTGCTACTGCTGCTACTGGTGTCGTCATCCTGCGAGCTTTCGGAGCTGCCTTTTCCGTCCCAGATGTCTATCTCGACACATCTCCCTCCGCGAAGCAATACCTAAGACGCATCAGCTGTCTGCTTTTATTTTCGAGTTAAGGCAGAGTCTCTTGGTATCATTGATAGCTCGACGTAAGATGTAACTTCGTGCCAATACTTTCATACAGTATTGAGGCGAAGTCTCCTCTTACCGTTGGCCCTTGAACATAACCGAGAAGAATGACGGGTCCAAAGGGACAACGTACATTGGTATAGGCACTCGCATCCGAGTCGCTATAGAGCTGATTGCCTGTCAGGTACGTGTTATGACTGGAGGATATATAGTAGTCTGTGATTGGAGCCGAGAGATCAGGCCGATCGACCGGCTTCAAGGCAGAGGCCGCGGGACTAGCCATGTAAGCATAGAATGCTGGCAAGGATGCCAGGGGATTTGCGCCTTCGTTGCCGCTTGCATCTTGCGTGCGAGTTTCACGTTGAATCTCCGTGACAAAGTCTGGCTGGGACAACGAAGTCAACGAGCTGTAAATTTTGTCCAGGTATGTGAGGACCGGAGGTGAGAAGGTGGACCCGGATTCCGCTTTGGTCACGGGTTGCGATGAGTCCAGAGTGACATTGCTGGTCTGTTCTGTGATCCCATCCATCCCTGTCTTTCGTTTGTGTTGTCCCAGCTTTGATTGTAGCCTGGTCCACACCGACTGGTTGTGATGCTTGCGGGCCGTGGTTGAAGGTGGGGGGAATCGGAATGAACCAAAAATAGCCGGCTGTGTGTAGAACGCGGGGGAGGCCCAGGACAGCGGAATCAGTCGAATGGGACAGACGACTGAGGACAAACCAAGCAGCAGGAGATGCTGGGAGTAAGGCTGGTGGAAGAAAGTTCCGGTTTTGTTGTTTTTGTTTTTTTTTTGTGTTGTCCGTGAGAGTTTTTGGTTCTCCACGTGAAGTGGAGACGGGATTGTTTCAACCTTCGAAACTTAACCTTTTGTTGACTGGCCTTATAAGGCTACTACCGGCGCTTCCTTTGCACTTTCTTCACCCCAATTTATTTTTGAGGAAGAGGTATGGCGGATGATGATAATGATGTCTACTTTGAACTCCAAGCCGAAGTAGCAAAAGAAGCAGACAATCAGGCATCGGGAGTGCTGCAAGGCTGCCTGTCCAGAAAGGCAATACAAATACCTTTTCGAGTGCGGATGCGGGGCATTCCAGCACTGACGCTTTCTTCAGCCTCGTCTTTCCAGCAGGAAGACTGCCCAGATCTATCTGTCTGCTGCACATGATCCAGCCAGCAGATCTCTCCTTCTCTTTTCTGCTGAAATTTTACTCATACCTCGAACATTTCTGTGTAGGGGTCATGCCAGCAGGGAGTGCACGTAAAGTAGTAAAGTAGCGGTGAAAGAAATCACGGTGTGACTCCCGACGGTCGGTGGCAGGTCGTCGCAGTTGCAAAAGACGATCGATAGGTACGGTAGAACGTGGCTTTTCACTTTTCATTCTCCAATAACGTACTCACATCCCTCTGGTCCAATCCACACCTCATGTACTTTCCCCGCCGGCACATCCAACCTCGCGCCTACGCCGCACGTCTCCTTCTTGACCTCTCCAGCATGGATCGCAGCATTATCCTCGGGATACGTGATGGTCAGACTCCCTTGGCGGATCAGATGTGTCGTCAACCCAGCGTGCGAATGAGGCGGGTAGTGCGCATTGCTGGATGACTTTCGTCAGCGATTGTAGATTGACATTTCGGTCTTGTCGTCGGTGGTAGACATACCTCCCATCTGACCAGGTGAAGACATGGTTAAACCCCCAATCTCGCACCAGGCGCTCGCATTCTTTGCGGCTGCCGATGGGGTAGGTCTCATGCTCGGGTGCAGTCATCGTGCGCTGGATTCTTTTCTTGTCCCTTGTACTTCGTCCAAGAGGTTCGTGTTTGGAGGTTTAATGTCTTCGAGTTGCGTTGCAAGGAGAGCGGGGAAGGCAATTGATGGCAATGACGTCGTTGTGGCCTCGCATCACGTGCTATTTTGTCCTAACAACACATCAGGTAAGGACAAGAATAATCCTTGTAGTTCATTGATTTACACTTATGCTACTATTTGCGATGTATGCAATCTCGATTGTTTCCAATTGAATAATTCTCAACGCTCTTGGAGTGTGTAGTCTATCAAGGAAAGTAGAGTTCCGCCAATCGTTAGCCCAATGCTAAGACTTTTATACAACCAGGAGAAAGAGTGTGCAAACAAGCATATGTGGTCGAATCGCAACGTCTTCTTGGAGATAGCAAGAGAGCTGTATGGGGACTAATATTGGGAAGAAAAAAAAAATAACCAAAACAATGACACATGATTATATGTACAACAAACAGGGATATTTATTTGACGAAAAAAATCAACGGATATTGGCAAATACAATGAATCGAGCCAGAACCAAACAGGGTATAAGATCGAGCTGCAGCGGTACCAAAAGAGAGAGGGACAACCTGTCAATTAGACATTGTTGCCACCGTCGAGACCCCGGAAGTAGCTGGATTGGAGAAACTCATCTCGCATGACCAAACTCACGTCCGAGTTACGGTACTGCCGTAGGTCCTCGCGTTGAAGTCCACGCAGTTGCTCCCGACCAGCAGTAGACAGTGAGTGCGTGCGAGAGTGATGCCCGTTGCGGTTGAGTACGGGGGAGAGCCGGCCGGTCGGGGAAAGGTGACCGTTGGACGACTTGTTACCCGTGAGTCCAGACCAAGAGAGGGTTTGACGAGGCGCAAAGACAGGCAAAGAGGCATTGCTTGGGAGAGGGAGGAAGGAACTAGCGTCGGTAGAAGCATTGCTCAGGCTTGACCGGATGGACGACGGGCGTTGATTCGCATTCAGCATAGGAAAGTTGGACACGGAGCTGTAGAAGCTTGACATGCCTGACGCAGCGGACGACCGCCAGGAGTTAACTGCGCTGCGTGGGATGGTGATAACTTCCTCATCAATTGGCATAGTTTGCTGCAGAGCAGTGGCAACATCGGCCGGTTCACTAAGAGTGGCGTTGGGGCGACTAGCCATGATCTTAGCGGACTTTCCGATCCAGAGCATCTGCTCGTGCTCACGCAGGTACCGATCACCACTGAAGGACTTCTGCACGATCTTGCGAGTCATCATACCCAGCTTGCGGCGGTGTTCGCTCTTATCGTACATGCGACGCGTGATCTTGGCAACATCCTCGGGGGTAGGTGCAGAGGTCAACACAGGAGGTGCCTCGGTATCGTCGGCAAATTTACTCCATTCCCCAAGAAGTCCAAGCATGGTGATCTGCGCGCGGGCGAGAGCCAAGGCATCGTTGGGTGCAACCACAGCGCTGAAGCGGGAAAAGTCATCGGGGTCACTCAATACACGCAGGGAGGCTCCGACATCAGTACAGACGACGGGTGCACCGGTAAGAGCAGCCTCGCCCAGCGCCAGCGGCAAACCTTCAGATAGAGACGAGTTCAGGAAGAGCCAAGTATTCTCCAGCACCTTCATCGGGTCAGCAGTACCACGCAAAGTGACCCGACCACGAAGTCCCTTAGAAGCAATGATTTCTTGACATTCCGTAGAGTATGTTGGGGCCTTGTCGATGGCACCGTAAATGTCAAGATGGTAGTCATCGAACTTCCATTGGTTGATGATGATATCCGCGGCAAGAAGCGCTGTCTTGATGTCCTTGGCATACCAAACGTGGGACAGCATAGTGACTGTAGGACGCTGCGATTTGATCTCCTTGACTGGAGCGAACTTCTGCATGTCGGTGATACCGTTGACCACGGGATCGACCTTGCGACGGAAGACATTTCGATGCTCAATGGTTCCTTGACAGGTACCGATTTCGACTTCCCAGCCTGGGTTGAAGAAGTCGGCACATGGCAGGATGATATCAGCGTGGTGCAGCGTGAGGACCGATGTGACTCGCATCAAGCCCAGAAGAGCATTGCGAACAAAAGGCGAAAGCTTGCAGAGGGCAGAAGAAAGACAGAGGTTCGTCTCACGCCAGCTGATGGCATGGTCCCAGATTTGCAATGTACAGTTTCTCTTGATCTTGCAGACAACTCCATAAGACGCACTCACGCTGTGATGTGATGCCTGGAAAACATTGGGAATCTTTTCAGGGATTGGAATGGAGAAGATGAAGAGATAGCGATACCAGAGCTCAAGGGCTATGTCGAGAGATGCCAAGGTGGGAAGCTCGGTGTCGTACCATTCTGACGAGGGGGTTGCGTTTGGCATTTCTTGAGTCAGCCAGAGATCGCGCCAGCTCTCCTTGACAATTTCACTGTCCCAGATCTGAGTCCAATGACGCGAGTCCTGGAAATAGGTATTAAGGTTCACCAAGGCTCTAGTTGCCTGCTGGATATCAGCCTTAGAAAGGTGGATAGCACGGGCCCCCTTCACCAAAGCCGTCAAGATAGGGATGAAGTTCATTTTTATGTCCATCTCGCTGGCGGAAGTGACGTTCTCGACCTCGGAGTCAAGCTTGTTCTTGAAGAGACCATGCGTGGGCGTGAGGAAGTCGAGACCCCAAAGAGGAACCACTTTTAGTGACAAAATGTTCTGCTCTGTTTGATGCTTGGGAACACCAAAGTCGTTTGCGGATTCGCAAATCATATGCCACTTGATCGTTCGCAGGGAATTGATCATATCACGGCGACAAGCAGAAACGCCGCCTCCTTCGTTTGGCCAAGTACCGTTGTCCGCAGCCATGACATGCAGTGATTTCTCGGTATCAGAGCCAAAGTCCTTAGATCTTGTGTTGACAACAGCATCACCGCCTGGTCCGAAGTTGAACAGATCACTTATCTTGACAGCCAAGGGAGTCCAACTGGAGATGTTGTCGTCCAGATCAGCACTAGCTGTGATTGTATCGGCGCGTAGGTCCAAATATTTCTTGGCTGAGGCAAGATCACCGCGATCTCTGCTGCGCCAGTAAGGAGCAAGTGTCTTGTCTCTTCTCAGTAGGCGTTCATCCATCCACCGGACAATGATGCCATCGAAGTCCACGCGGTCCTTCCAAGCCTTCCAGATCAACGAACGTGCACGAGAAGTAGACACGGGAAAGCGCTTCGTTGTCAAACCAAAGAACCGGGTAAGAATACTTGAACTCAGACTGTCACAATACAAGAGAGGGTTGTCATGTACAAAGCTGGTGTATCGGGGTTTGGCCAGGACAGCGAGGTAGTCATGCTCGATCATGGGTGGGGTCTGTATCTTTTGTCCGTTGAGGGTGGTGAAGATCGTAGGATGAAACTTGTGATCATAAAGCCAGCGAGACTCGTAGACGTCCGCACCTTGAACAAACGAGGCTTCAGTCACCTTGGAATGAGGGATCCAGCGATCGATCTTCTGGGGATGGCGCAGAGGAGGCGCACACCAAGAGACAGTACAGGTGATATGCGAAAGAGCGAACTCGGCTCGAAGCAGCTCATCTCCAAACCGAGGGTTCTTGCGATAATGATACTTGAACCGAATCAGATTGCCGTCCTTCATGTAGGATCCTGCTTCGATGAGGCCCTTCTTGTTGTATTGCACGCTCTGAAGATGATTTTCTCCACGCACACAGCGGCGTCCCATTGGAACCTTGGCAGAAGACAGCTTGGACAAGGAGAATCCCTTCTTGGATGGGGCACGGTAGTCATAATGATACTCGTTGATCACCTTTCCAGCTTTGAACTCTTGTCTCACCATGAGCAACATATCCTTGGAATATACGCAGACGTAGCTGAGACTTTTCGTGCCTTCCGGTTCAGCCTTGTGCTGTCCCGCGTAGTAGTAGATCTTGAAACCTCCATCAGCTTCATCGTGCTTGAAAGCAGAGAATGTTCCGTCCAAGCTCTGAATGACAAAGCGGCTCTTCTTGATGCTGATAGTCATTCCTTTGGTCTCATCCCAGAGCTGTTTCACATTGCTGCGACCGTGGAACAGAAAGAATGAGAGGCCTAGATTTTGCACGATTCTCGAATACGACCAAATCGAGCTCAAGGCCAGGGTGGCTGGTACACGAATGATAGCATGGCGTTGACTCATGACATGATCGAATTCTCGCTGGAATTCAGGGTCGGCGATGAGAGCAACAACGATAAACTTGATCGTTGATGCCAATGAATAGTAGAACGAGTGCCAGGGTTTTGCACAAAGATGGATGATTGCAGGAAGCTTCCTGGAGACATAAGGGATGTAGTCTGGAGTCTCTGAATCCTGAAATACAACAGCCTCGCCTGTGCCATAGTGTGCATAATCAAGAATGCTGACAGCGGTAGCAGCACCAAGGTTGCAGCGTGCCACATGGACATCAAGGTCATCCGTGTCGAATTGGCAAAGGCGGCCTTCGAGCCACATCCGATCCTCGCTTGACAGCTGACAAGGCTGACCAAGGCAACGGTTCAAGAGAGAGTTCCTGATGTTCTTGGGAAGCTTTTCCCAATGAGCATCACATTCGAAGCCAAGGCACAGGTGTTTGAGCAGTTCCTTCTTAGCCCAGCGAATAACGACCGCGGTGTTAGATTCCGCTCGCAGCTGGCGAGCCATAGTTTCAGTCACACCGGCGGTGACGAGAGACTCGGCTAGAATAGCATACTCGTGGGGGATGCGCAGCATTGATTCCGCGACGGCGTGAAGCAATGTTTCAGCAATGACTTGGCAATTGGCACTGACATCAATGCGCTGATTTAGTCCACGTCCAACACCAATGGCAATGCTGAGGTGTGTCGTTGTGCTGCAGCTAAGCGCGTGAATGCCAGGGCCAAGTGACCCAGACGGAACAAGCTCCACGGTAATTTCTCCTTTTCCCCACGCTCCGAGGGCTATACTGATCAATTCCTCTGCTCTTGGAAAAGCATCCTCGATTCTAAGTTCCTTTCTGCGAGAAAGCAGGATTTCCTTGACCTCGACACCGGGATGGTTTTGTGGCTCCAGTTTCAAGCGCGCGTCCGAGGGTACTT